AAAAAGAAAAAAAAAAAAAAAAAAAAAAAAAAAGAAAGAAAGAAAGAAAGAAAGAAAGAAAGAAAGGAAGGAAGGAAGGAAGGAAGGAAGAAAGAAATGATGGAAGGAAGGAGGGAGGGAGGGAGGGAAGGAAGGAAGGAAGGAAGAAAAAATGTCACGGCACCATAAAGATGGTTATATTTTAATAAGAACTTTCAAATACAAAATCCACTTCCTCAGATTGCTTTATCTTAACCTGTTTTTAGAATAATATGTTTCTTTCTATTGTGTATTGCTTAGGTGGCAGAAAAGCAACCCTTTTAATGAATAGATAAATGTTGCAATGTAACATATACGAAACACTTTTAAATACTATTTAAGGATGATGTTAAACATGCTGTTAAACTAAGAACTGGGAGTGGCTTCTGTCTGATGAAGCTGCCCGTCGCCAGAGGGATTCATTAGCGCGACAGTCAAGGCCTTTTTGGGGGGGGGCTATCAGTAGGGGAGGTGGAGCCTTTTATTAAATACTGTACCAAAATTGCTGCTCCTGAAGGCTTGGGGGGGGCAGAAAATAACCTCCAGAAATTGTCTGGAGCCTGTTTGGCTCATAGGGTTCACTTCTGGTCCACGGTCCACTGTTTGTGCCCTCCCCACTTTAAAAGCTAAAGAAGGGCTCACATCCCTTTTGAAAACACAATTCAACATTTTCCGAAGATCCACAGAGAAAGCATAGAGGAACATGAGCGCCATGTGCTGACCAACAAGTTGAACTTGGACTACAAGCATGTGAGTTCTAGCACCCGATCAAACCACAACATCTTCTTGTTGTTGTTGTTGTTTAGTTGTTCAGTCGTGTCCGACTCTTCGTGACCCCCATGGACCAGAGCACGCCCAGGCCCTCCTGTCTTCCACGGCCTCCCGGAGTTGGGCCAAATTCACGTTGGTCTCTTCGATGACCCTGTCCAACCCTCTCGTCCTCTGTCGTCCCCTTCTCCTCTTGCCTTCACACTTTCCCAACATCAGGGTCTGTTCCAGGGTGTCTTCTCTTCTCATGAGATGGCCAAAGCACTGGAGCCTCAGCTTCAGGATCTGTCCTTCAAGTGAGCATTCAGGGTTGATTTCCTTCAGAACGGATAGGTTTGTTCTCCTTGCAGTCCAGGGGACTCTCAAGAGCCTCCTCCAGCACCACAATTCAAAGGCATCAATTCTTCGGCGGTCAGCTTTCTTTATGGTCCAGCTCTCACTTCCATACATCACGACAGGAAAAACCATAGCTTTGACTGTTCGGACTTTTGTTGGCAAGGGGATGTCTCTGCTTTTTAAGTAAGTAGAGCCCAGTTATTCAAGTTCCGTATGCATTCAGATAGGCAGTGTGTATTTTTAATTTGTAATAATCCAATATGAGGTCATAGGGCAAGGGTGACCTCAGCATCAAGGCGAAGAAGGGAAAGGGTGGCTGCCCTGTGTGTATAAGGGAGGAAGCGCTTCCATGGAAACCCTGGGGAAATACACTAACACGGCTCACCGGTCCCACCCAGCTGGAAAAAAATGAAGAGGAAGGCAGGCAAATGCTAGCCTGGAACCACTAATCTCTTCTCTCTCTCTTATTCTTGGAGAGTGGAATACTAAGTCAGAACTATTAAAATACAGTGGTGCCTCGCTAGACAGTGACCCCGCATGACAGTTTTTTCGCTAGACATTGACTTTTTGCGATCGCTATAGCGATTCGCAAAACTGATTCCTATGGGGGAATTTCGGTGGACAATGTTTGGTCCCTGCTTCGCAAACCGATTTTGGCTAGACGACAATTTGCTTTTCGCTAGACAATGATTTCACTAGATGGCGATTTCAGTGGAACGGATTATCATCGTCTAGCGAGGCACCACTTGTACTCTCAATGACCCCCGTAGGAGCTTCACGGCATTCAGTCGGGCACAAAACAACATTGAACAGTGCAAGAAACTGAACTAGCTAAAGTTTTTGTTTTTATCTAGTAGTGCAGTTCGGGTAAACTTACAGATTTTGGTAAATTCCAGGCGCCTACAATCTATGACGGCTGAACATAGAGGGGAAGGGGGCTGCCGTTCCAGACGCTTCCAGAAACTGTAGTTTAGGATGGGGTGTTTTGCCATAAAAAGGCAAGGCTCAGTGAGGGCTGGAAGTGGCCGAAAAAAGAAAAAGAGGGAGGGAAAGCGAGGAGGAAAAAGGGAGGCACAAATAGCCCCCGGGCCACTCTTTGCCCAGAGAAATGTTCAAAGATTATACATCTGACAAAAGAAAAACCTTAAGGGTTGAAAACAAGAGGCATTTCAAGATCTCCAGCAGAACTCATGATTCTTGGTCATTGCTTTGACACTTCTATCATTCCTTTGTGACTGAAGGCTTGTTAAGGAGACGGCTCATTTTCCTTAGACCTAGAAAGATTTCCTCCTCTCGCTACTCAGCTTCGCCTCCAAGCTTTAAAAAAATACAGTGGTGCCTCGCTTGACAACGTTAATTCATTCCAGCGAAATCGCTGTAGAGTGAAAACGTCGTCAAGCGAAATAAAAAAGCCCATTGAAATGCATTGAAAACTGTTCAATGCGTTCCAATGGGCTGAATACCTGTTTGTCCAGCAAAGATTCCCCCATACGGCGGCCATTTTCGGGTGCCTGTTAAGCGAAAAACGCCTCCTAAAAACAGTGAGGAGCCATTTTGAGCAGCCAGTGGCCATTTTAAAAACCCGACAATCAGCTGTTTTGCTCCTCATAATGCAAAGAATCAGTTCCCGAAGCAGGGAACGATCGTCGCAAAGCGAAAAAAACCCATTGCGATTGCAAAAATATCGTCATGAAGCAGATTCATCGTTATTTATTATTTATTTTTATTTTATTTAACAT